GCGCGGTGTGATTTCAGGATGCTGCTCGGGAACCCGGGGAGGGGACGGGTTTGGGGCATTTCTGAAGTCGTCGCTGCGGGCCTTGCTGCCCTTTTGTTTCCCTGCTGGGAGCTGGGGGAAGAGAGGAGCGGCCTTGGCTTGGCCGCGGGTCAGGGTTGTGCCTCCGGGAAGTCTGGGAGGCTCCCCGGGCAGCGCCGACGGCTCAGCGCTCTCTTCCCGCTGCGTCTCCCCACTCCCAGACTTCCTCCCCCTGAAGTGTGACGCCTGCGAGCAGATCTTCTGCACCGACCACATCGCTTATGCCCAGCACGACTGCACCTCTGCCTACAAGAAGGTAAGCACGGAGCTGCTGAGCCTTCCCAGGCAGCGGTCAGAATAATTTGTGACTCCTCTGGGCACTTGGGCAGTCTCCCTTGGGACATCTGCTGAATCCGGAGGTGTCCCTGAAAGCCAGGATCTATATCTCAGCCCGACAAACTTCCAGCCCACCTTCTGCCGCTGGGTGAAATGGTTTGGGCATCTCCCAGCCCTGCTGTGTCCCCTTCCCAGAGTGCATGTCCATGCCTGTCACAGCTGCTTGGGCAGAAATGGCAAGCTTTTTGGAGGGTGCTGAGTGAGATCTCAAAACACAGGTGACGCTGTAGAAGATCAGGCAGATCCTGCAAGGGAGAGAGATGGCTGCACAGCACTTGAGGTTGCCCAGCTATGTGCTCCCAGGCCCCTCTTCTTGTCTCTACAGGATGTGCAGGTCCCCGTGTGTCCCCTCTGCAACACCCCGGTCCCCGTGAGGCGAGGGGAGATGCCCGATGTCGTGGTGGGTGAGCACATTGACCGTGACTGCAAGTCTGACCCCGCGCAGCGCAAGCGCAAGGTAGGAACCCAGCGCTCTCCATCTCGCTGCTGAGCTCCGCCGGGTCCCTGCCGAAGCCCAGGGGTGGGATGAAAGCAACACACGACTCTGCTCTGCCCGGTGCCCTCTCTGCTTGCACAGGCAGAAGGCAGGAAGGGTTGGTGAGCAGGAGGCCTAGCACCTGTAGGGCTTTGTGGTGTGAGCCTGGGGCTGAGGTAGCGATGGGGTGGGGCTGTGCAGCCATGTGGGACACGAGGAAAGGCAAGATGAGGGTAGGAAACTGCATGCTGCCGTTAGGAAAATGCAATCGGCAATTAGCTGCCCCTTCTTGCCAGGAGAGGAAATTGCTGATGGGCGCTGGCCCTGCAGGAATCCAGCCCAGCAGCAGCTGGAGGGCTCCGGGCTGTCCCCACCACCCTGGCAGGGCAGGCAGCACTCCCTGGGCGAGGCAGTCGCTCCTGCTCTGCGTTCCACAATTGCAGAGACCCTTGTCTATGGAGACCGAAGCACTGGTGAATGACTAATGAACTATCTGAAGGAAACCAGTATTCAGATACAAACTCCAGAGCCCCACAGAAGCCACAGTGGGAGAGAAAGCTGGTCCATGCCCAGGGCCTGGCATAGAGGGAAGGGACAGCCCCGGTCCTGCAAGGTGTGTTCCTTTTTCACCACTGCCATGTTGTCTTTCAGATATTCACCAACAAGTGTTTGAAGCCTGGTTGCAAGCAGAAGGAGATGATGAAGGTGATCTGTGACCAGTGCCACAAGAACTACTGCCTCAAGCACCGGCACCCCCTGGACCACGACTGCAGCGGGGCAGGGCATCCCCTCTCCAAAGCAGGGTGAGGGCCTGAGGACAGAGAGGCCGGCAGGGACAGGGCCGTGCTTGTCAGTGGGGTGACAGGGAAGAAGCCGAGCTCTTCCCATCTCATTGTCTGGGACTGCTGCATTCTCACACTCCCTGCCCTGTGTGCCAGGGCATCCTCCAGAAGCGTTAAGGTTTAAGGAGTCAGCACGGGTGTGCACACAGTCTCTCCTTCCTGCAGCAAAGGCCACTGATACTGCCTGCTGGCTGTTTTGTTCTTGCTTCTCTGCCCAGTCCCTTATTCTGTAGCCAGTGATTTCTGCCTTTACTGGTACAGTGTTTTGAGGAGAGAAACGGCACTTGAAACTCTTGCGCATGTAGCTGAGCCACAACACGGGTGCTGCTGAGAGGAAGAGAGGGAGCTGGATGCCAGGGAGGTGTCTTATCCAGCTTCACCTCCCTGGGGGTTCAGTGCCCAGGGGTGGCCCACGATGGTAAAGCAGTTGCATCCTGTCTGTCCTAGGCAAGCTGCGGTTGCGAGAGCCCAGGCATCCTCCTCCAAAACAGTCACCGCATCGAGCAGTGGAGCTGCCCGGCCAGCAGACAGCCCCTCTTCTCTGGCCTCTGCCAGGTATGGTGATGGCCTGACTCGTAATTCTGAGGTGGACATGACCAGGCTCAGCTTGGCTCACTGTGGGACGCAGAAGCGACAGCTCCCTGCTTCTTGTGCATCATCAGGGCTGCGCACTCATACCAGGGCTCCCTGCCTCAACAATAACGCGGCTTCTCTCCTGTTTGCAGAGGAGGCAGAGCAGCTGCACCGCAGACTCCCAGCACCTCCCCTCCAGCTGTCATGCTGCAGAATGGGCTGGTGAGTGGCCTGGCCCAGGCATTTGGGGTGGGTTGGGGTGGTTCCTGTGCCCTGGGGAGCTACTGCAGCAACTGCTTTGTAACCCACACTCTGTAGGTGACCGTGGTGCTCCCCAGCTGGGCCTTCCCTGGCAAACAGGGATCCCAGACACTCAGTGGGGCATCAGAGTTTGCTCTGGTGCCTGCAAATGGCAGCGCTGGCTGTTTTCCCTGGGTGTTGTCTTTCTGTTCTGCAAGCCAAGGGCAGAGGAGAAGACTGGAAGCTGCTTCCCGGTATTCTTAGCATGCTCCCCTGCACTGGCAGGCAGGGCTGCACTCCCTTGAGCACGGGGAGAGCAAGCTGCAGGTCTGTCCTGAGCCCAAGGCCTTCACCTTGGCTGTGTCTGGCCTTGGAGAAGGGAGGTGCACCCACCCTTGGCCAGGCAAGACTGTGTCTGCTGCGTGTCCCTCAGGGCTGCTCCCTGCCACCTCAGCCAAGCTGGTGACGAGATGTTTTCTTTCAGAGTGAGGAAGAGGCACTGCAGCGAGCTCTGGAGTTGTCCCTGGCAGAGTCAGCACGCAGCTCAGCACATCCACCCAGGTACAGTCCGGGGACATGTGGTATCACGCCCCAAGCCTACATGTGAGCAGTGCCTGGGGCAGAGTCATGTGGCTCCCGGATGACATTCCTCTCAGCACGTGGCTCTGAGTGATGCCTCTGTGTGGCTGATGGGGGGGAAAAAAAGGAAGAGTCCAGAGCCATCATGGAGCTCTGTTCAGCAAGCAAGCCCTCTGGGGTGCTGGGAAGGGACTGTGACTGACAGCACAGAGCAGGGCAAACCATTGTCTGAGCACTTGTCAGCTAATGAGCATGGCTAGAGTGTGACACAGAGGTGGAGGAGATGATGCCCAGGAGCCTACACGTTACCTGATGCTGCTAAAAGCACTCTTACAGACTGGAATTAACATGGTTCTCCTCGGCACATGGTGCTGGCTGCCAGCCCCAGCTGGATGCTCTGGTCCCTCTCCAGCCCCTGCCTTGTTCAGGGTGATCCTCAGTTGCTCTCTGCCCTTAGCTGTCCGGGAGGGTTGCAGTGACAGGAGATCTTGCCACCCCAAAGGGCTCCGAGTGCTGGGCCAGTGAGCCTGGGGGAGTCCGAGGCACACAATGCACCCCTGTCCCCAGCAGCACGCAGGAGGAGGAGGATCTGGCACTGGCCCAGGCGCTGTCAGCAAGCGAAGCTGAGTACCAACAGTCGCAGCGGCAGGTGAGTGAGGCTGGCTGTAGGCTCTGCACCGCGGTGGGGTTGATTCCAGTGTGGCTGCATCATGGTGGGGTTTTCCCTGGGTTCTGCTTCCTCTGGGCTCTGTCTAGGGTCACTTTTCTCACCAGGAGGGCAGCATGGCCTGGGGCAATGGCAGCATCACTGCTGAGCACACATCCCTGGGGACTTGAGCACTGGATGTGCCCTCTTGTAGGACAGAGGAAGAAGCCCGTCTTCCCTTGCTCAGTGTGCCTCTTCTCGTTCCAGGCACACAGTTCCAAGCCATCCAACTGCAGCATGTCGTAGGCAGGCGAGGCAGGGTGTGGCAGTGGCTGTGGAATCTCGCTTGTGACCTGAGGAGCAGCTCTGGCCTCCCACATGGATGCCCTGAGGTTCTGGCCTGGACACTGACGACAAGAGCCCCTCGCCAGGGACAAATCATCTCCCTGGGGGCTGGAAGCGAGCTACCAAACACACATTGACACCTCACCCCTAGTAACTGTATAAAAGTAGCGCAGCAAATTGCTGATGCTCCTGCAGAGGTGAAGATGGCGTGGGACGAGGCCGAGCACACACTGACCAAAGCAATCGACAGCACACGGTGTTCACTTCGCCACAGCTGCTGCAGCTGTGTCCCAGCACTGCTGGGACTGTGGGGTGAGGGCAGAGCTGGCCTGGAGGGGAGGGGCTGCGTGGGGAGGTCTCTGCATGCTCCAACATACAGCCGGGATGCGTCTGCCTGCTGCGGTAGCGGGGGGCTCGATTTTGTGCTCCAGGGAGGGCCGTGCCAGCCCTTCAGCAAAGACCAGCTGTGGCAGGGACAGTCTCTCGCACGGCTGAATGTGGGGCCTCCCAGCAGCATGAAGGCAGCCCCTTCCCTGCTCCCCGTGCCCTCGGTGCCTCCCCTGCTGTTTGCATGCACATGAGCACGTTGGGCCTTACCCAACTCGGCTGGGGCCCAGGACCCCTCTGAGACTGAATGGAGCTGTGTTTCCTTTCTGGTTTAATTTAACAAGGGCCATTAACTGAAAAGTAGCCTCAGCAGTGACTTGACTGTGCCAGCGTCGCTCGCGCAGGAGGACTGCAGCTGCCTTCCTGCTGCTGGCTGTTCCTCTGCTGCCCTCAACTGTCCCAGGGCCCTGTTTTAATGCTGCTGGGGCAGGAAAGCCTCCCTCCTTCCAGCTGGGCTGTGGGGGATCCCCTCCTGGGGAACAGCAGCACAGGACCCCTTCTTGCAAACACAGCCCTGAGCCTGGAGCTGGTGTTTGAAGGCCTGGGGGGGCTGACTTGCAGAGCAAGAGGGGGAGGCTGCAGAGCAGTCCTGCTTTCGGACCCGCTCTCTCCAGCTCCCTTGCTGGAACCACTCCCACCTGTGGGGCTGGGCCTGGGTCTGTGCTGGGCTGAGCTGTTCCGCTCCGAGCAGCGTACAGCCGGGGTGGGGGGGTGTGGGTGGGGGGTTATCTGCTGGCAGTGCCTCCCCAGGGCAGGAGGTGAGTCCAGTCTAGGCTGAGGGAATACTGAGACTTGTCAAAGTGCTGCTTGGGAGAAAATAAAAGCATAGCACAGGGTGCAGAGTCGGTTTGGTGGAGCGGTCGCTTGGTGTCCAGCCCAGCACGGTGTATCTCTGCAGATGGGGGCACAAGGAGGTGCTGGGAGGGGACACACTCGGGGGTGAAGTGGGCACCAGCTGCGCTGAGCTCAACCCCGTGGCAGAGCTGCTGGTTGACCCAAGAGCAACGGCAGTAACCCTGCCTGCCCCTGCCTGGAGCACACCTCCCCCCCCAACCCAGGTGGGAGCAGGGGGTCCTGCATGCACATACCCAGAGCACACAGACAGAGCTGGGAAGGACCTGGTTTAAGAAACTACACAACATCAAAACAAACAGGTACAAACATAGTGGAGTGTCCAACCCAGCCCCTGCAGCTCCTGGGGCATGCAGGGCCCCGGCACGCAGCCGGCAAAGGGCTCCCTGGCAGCATGGGGGCCTGAGCCCCAGGTCGGCGTCACCACAGAGCCCCTGGCCACGCTCACGGCCCCTTCTTGCTGCCCAGGGGCTTCTCGGTGTGGCGCTCCTTGCTCTCGCCCTCGTCCCCAGCCTGCTGCTGCAGCCACAGCCCCTGCAGCTCCTGGGGCATGCAGGGCCCCGGCACGCAGCCGGCAAAGGGCTCCCTGGCAGCATGGGGGCCTGAGCCCCAGGTCGGCGTCACCACAGAGCCCCTGGCCACGCTCACGGCCCCTTCTTGCTGCCCAGGGGCTTCTCGGTGTGGCGCTCCTTGCTCTCGCCCTCGTCCCCAGCCTGCTGCTGCAGCCACATGCCGGCATAGACGCCACCCTTCTGCAGCAGCTCCTCGTGCCTGCGGGGAGAACGCAGGGGTGCAGGGTCCCCAGTTGGCCCCAGAGCCAGGGAGGGGGTCCCCGGCAGCAGACAGCACCAAGCCCTCCCCCTGTGCTCACCTCCCTCGCTCCACAATGCGCCCGTCCTTGAGCACCAGGATCTGGTCTGCACCCACCACGGTGGAGAGCCTGCAGGGAAAGGCAGGGTGTTATCCTGGCTCAGAGGGGAGAGGGGCTGGGGGGGTTCACGGTGTGAGGAGCCACAACCACAGGGGCTGTCACCTCCCGGGCAGGAGGACAGGCCTGTGAGTCCCTCTGCAGGGGGCTGGCCAGCTCAGAGAGCTCAGCACCTCCTGGATCAGCCCTTTCCCCGATCCCTACCTATGTGCAACAACAATGGTGGTGCGGTGGGCGCAGACCTTGGCCAGGGAGGCCTGGATATTCCTCTCAGTCTCTGTGTCGAGTGCGGACGTGGCCTGCGGGAGAGGCAGGGTGTGGGGAAGGGACGCGGGCAGCGCAGGCAGCTGCTGGGGCAGGGGCTGCTGCAGAGCAGGGCAAGGCTGGGCTGGGGGCCGCTGCCATTACCTCATCCAGCAGGATGATGCGGGGACCCTTCAGGATGGTGCGAGCGATGGCGACACGCTGCTTCTCCCCCCCACTCAGCTTCAGCCCCCGCTCCCCCACCTGGGTGTCGTATCCTGTGGGCACAAGGGCAGGAATGTGCTGTGCTGGTGCCCTCCAAGACGGGGATGGGGACCAGGGCTCTGCTGCATGGGGGGGTCCTGCCAGGACCTCAGCCCATCCCTGCCCAGGGGCTGATTTAGCCCTGGAGAGACGGCAGGGAGAGGCAAAGCAAGGCACAGGGTCATGCAGGTGTCCCCATGGGGGATGTCACCCAAGGACACCCGTGAGACGGCAGCTACAAGGTCACGGGTGACCCCGGGATGGCAGGGGAGGGCAAGGAGGGGACTGCGGGGCTCTCACCGTCGGGGAAGGAAAGGATGCGGTCGTGGATGTCAGCAGCTCGGGCTGCCTCCTGCACCTCCTGGTCAGTGGCCAGGATCCGTCCATAGCGGATGTTGTTGGCGATGGTGTCGTTGAAGAGCACCGTGTCCTGGGGCACCACCCCGATGTGAGCGCGCAGCGACGCCTGCTTCACCTGGGGAGGCAGGGGCAGGGCTCAGCCAGACACACACCCCTGGCAAAGACCCCCCCGAAACCCAATCCTGCCCCTCAACTATGAGCCCGACACCCAGCTCCTCACCGAGCATCTGCTCCAGAGTCCCCCCCCAGACCACGGGCTCAGCTGCATCTCCACCCTGCGGTAGGGGGACCCTGCCAGTGCCCTGGCCCTTCCCAGGGAGCCCTGGCCAGTCTCTGGCATTTCAGCCCAGGTGTCCCCCACTCACCCCACTGTGGGCACAGACACCAGCCTTCAAAGGGGCTGTGGGGGCTGTGTGCCTCACACCTGCCCCAGGGAGATGCCAGTGGCTGCACCCAGCAGTGCTGCAAGCCCCAGAGGAGCTGGTGTCCCCCTGGAGGCCTCCCACCCTCACCTGGGAGATGTCCTGCCCGTCAATGCGGATGCAGCCGCCCCGTACATCGTAGAAGCGGAAGAGCAGGCGGATGATGGTGCTCTTCCCCGAGCCTGAAGGTCCCACCTGCATGCAAAGGTAAAGGGACTTAGAGACACCAGGAGACTCCCGCTGCTGGAGGCCAGGGGCTGGGCAGGGAAGGGCCAGCCCTGCTGGGGGTCTGTCCTTCCCACCCCCATACTTCCCAGCCCCCATCCCACCCTCCAGCAGCGGACCCACACCCAAGGTCCCACTCTCACCAGGGCCAGGGTCTGCCCGGGCATCACAGAGAAGGAGACGTCCTGCAGGATTTCCTTCCTGGGAGAGGCAGATGGAGACAGGCTCAGGGCCACCTCCCCTGCCCCATGTCCCTGCACCAGGCCCCATAGCTTGACATGTCCCACCCTACCACCCATGCCTGCCGCCCCGTACCCATCCACATAGCTGAAGTGCACATTCTCAAACTCGATCCGCCCGGCCTCCAAGCGCAGGTCACCGGCATTCACCGCATCCTTCACCTGCCGGAAGGTGAGACGCGGCTTCAGAGCAGGGCAGGACCACGGGGCCGTGCCAGGGAGCAGGGTCCGGGGAAGGTGGCACCCACCTCCTGCTCCTCGTGGAAGAGCTCGAACATGTTCTCCATGTCCACGAAGGAGTTCTGGATCATCCTGGAGGAAGACCAGAGGGAAGGGTTTGGGGGTGCACATCCCAACCCAGGTGCCCATGGGTAGGGGGACCCCCACATTGCCCAGCGTTACCTGTAGTAAGTCCCAAACCAGTTGAGCGGCGTGTAGAGCTGGATGATGTAGGTGCCAAAGAGGACAAAGTCCCCCACCTGGAAGGGACAGGGGAGGGGGGCCTGTCCCCACCAGCCCGGGGCCCCCACCCCAGGCAGGGGCTGCCCAGGCTGGCATCAGCCTTACCTGCAGCTTGTTTTCGGTGACGAAGTAGGCGCAGAGCAGGGACCCCGCCAGCAGCCCCAGGCCGATGACCAGGTTCTGGGTCTGGTTGAGGAGACCCAGCGAGGCACTGACCTTCCACTCCGAGACCTGAAAGAGGCAAGGTCCTGTGGGATGCTGCCACCTCCAAACCAGGCCCGTGGTGAGCTCCATCCTCCCCCCAGGTCCCCGTGAGGCTTGTCTCCTTCCTTCCTGACCACTCTGCACTGGTGCTGAGTGCCCTGTACCTGGTACTTGATGATGGCATCGTTGAAGCGGTTCACCTCATAGCTCTCTGCATTGTAGTACTTCACCTGCAGGACACAGAGCTGGGGTCAGTGGCCGGGTCAGCCTCCCCAGCACCCCGCAGTGCTCAGCAACCCCACCACCACCTACAGTACCGTCTCAAAATTGAGGAGTGAGTCCACGGCCCGGGACTTGGCCTCATTGTCCCGCGTGTTCATGTCCCGCCGGTACTTGGTCCTCCACTCGGTGATGAAGATGGTCAGAGCTGTGGGCAGGAGGGGGCTGTGGCTGCAGGCGCCTGCTGCCCCACAGCCCAGCACGGCACCCCTGCACCCCCCCCCCCCACTCACTCAGGTAGAGGCTCATACACACGAAGATGATGAGGCCAAACCAGGCGCTGAAGACTGAGGTGAAGTAAACGATGCCGATGACGATGTCCGCAATGGTGGGGATGATGCTGAAGACGATGTAGCTGGGGGGTGGGAAGGGGGATGGCACATCAGCCCGGCCCGGTGGGGCTGCCCAGCTACCCCCTGCCCGCCTTGGGTGTGCTCTGACCTGAGCAGGCTGTTGATGCTGCTGGTGCCCCGGTCCACGCTGCGCAGGACCTCGCCAGTGCGACGCCCCAGGTGCCAGCGCAGGGACAGCCCGTGCAGGTGGGTGAAGAGCTGCACCTGCACCTGCCGGTTGGTGAACTGCTGCACCCAGACCCACAGGAAGGTGCGCAGGTTGCTCACGAAGCCGGTGGAGCCTGCGGGGCACCATGGAACAGTCAGAGGGGACCGGCGCCACCGGGACATGCACCTAGCTCAGAAAGCCCAGCTGGGAAAGAGGGATTTGGGATGGGCCCCCCCATACTGTCCCCAACCCGGGACCAGCCCTGGTTGCTGCTCCCCAGAGGGAGCAGCAGTGATGGGGGCATCTGGGCATCCCGGCCCCCAGCCTCGGCACGATGTGCCCCACGCTGTCTCTCCCCAGCGCCCCATCTTTCCCAGCAGTCCTTACCAGCACCTCCACCCTGCAGGAACTTCATCCCCACGTAGATGCAGACAGTCGAGGCCAGGGTGTGCCAGGGAGCACCCTCTGTCAGCTCGTTCACTGGGGAGAGGGTGGAAAGGGTCAGGGCAGAGGGGCAGGGAGCATCACTCAGCACCCAAGCCTGGTCCCTGACCCCCTGGACCCTGCTCCTGCCAGGTCCCTGCAGCCTCGCCAGGTCACTCATGACACCCCACAGCACTTGGTGAGGCCATGGGCAGCCTCACATGCCGAGCTCCAGGCGCCTCACCGATGTTCTTGTAGTAGATGGGGACGAAGACGTTGATGGCCCGCTCCAGCCCCATGAGTGCCATGCAGAACAGCACCAGCCCCTGCAGCCGGTGGTTGCCCCTCGGCCACATGTACGGCACCAGCAGCCGCAGCTTCCTCCGGAAAACCTTCCAGGGGGCGGGGGTCCTGCCGGTCTGGGGGAGAGCAGAGCGAGGTGTCACAGCCCTGGCCTCCCCAGCCCAGCCGGCAATGAGCCCACCAAGAAAACCAGCCCCGTCCTTCCAGGATTCCCACTCCATCCTTCCAGCAGGGCCACATCCTGACAGCAGGCTGGGAGCTTGGGCAGCCCTAAACCTTGCTCCTCCCCCATCTCCTGAAGATGCTGATCCCAGGGCAGCTGTATTTCCATTTTGTCCCTAGTTCTTCCCTGGCCCATGTCCCCACACTGCTCTGGCCCTGGGACTCACCTGGCTGTTCTCCACGTCCCGCTCCTCCTCGTTGACCAGCAGCATGTAGGGCTTGTGGGGCAGCCCCGGGGCCTTCATGCCCAGGATGAAGAGCATGAACGTGCAGATGTAACGCAGCAGCCAGAAGCCAAACTGCACCTGGATGGAGAGTGGGGGGTCAGAGCTGTAGCTGGCCTTCGGCAGAGCCTGGCCAGGCATGGGATGGGTATGAGCTGAGAGAGGCAAGGAGTGGGGCATGGGTATGGGGCAACCAGGGGAGAGGGGACACCCCACACAGACCAGCAGGACCACCTGGCTGAGCACAGCACCTCAGGCAGCATCCAGACCCCCTCCTTCCTCCCTGCTGCATCTGGCTCTGTGCCCTCTGGCTTGGGGTACCCCTACCCTGCGAGGAGCAGGGAGGGTAAAGGGCTGTGGTGAGCGGGCAGACACCCCCCACTTCTACACCTTGGACTGGGGCAGGCAGAAACAGGAGCTGAGCTGGATGGGGGCATGGAGAGATGTGCAATCGCTGGGCTCGGGGCCGAGACATGCAGCAGATGTGTGGGGGCAACCTGGGACCATGCACGCCCTGGGGATGGCAGGGCATGGCATGCACACCCCAACCCTGCACCACGATGCTGCAGCCCCCCCACCCCAGCAAAGGGCCCCGTCCCCCTTCCCTGCCCCCAGCCCACCTTCTGGTTGGTGTCCTCCAGTGCCCACCACCACAGCGGGCTCCTCCAGCACACCAGGGTCAGGTTCTCGGCGGCGAAGGCCAGCGCCCAGAAGAGGAGGAGGACGGTGCCATGGCCCCGCGTCCGGTCGTGCGCCAGCACCCGCGTATGCTCCAGCTGCAGGAGGGCGACTGCGCATGGGCTCCATGGCGCGGCCGAAGCGGACGTAGCAGGCATACTGCAGGGCTCCCAGCAGCAAGCAGACGCTCAGCAGCACGGCTGGCACCAGCGTGAAGAAGAAGCAGGGCTGGAAGCCCTGCTGGACCCAGGCATGGGCGATGGAGCTGTTGCCCTCACAGTAGCCCCCCAGCACTGCCATCCCGGCAGGTCACCGGCTGCGGAGAGAAGAGGGGCTGGAGCACGGTCTCGGGATGGGCTGTTGGGTACGGCTGCAACGAGGGACCCACGGCGGGCTGGCAGG